AACAAACGTGGCTGTACATAAAGACAGCTGTTGAGAGATAAGTAATGGCTCTCTGAAATCAGATAATCTAAAAGTTATACATTTGTGCACACAAACTGGTTGACATTTCTGTAGTGAAAACTTTTTTGTTTTATTTTGAAGTGAAGTCTACTACATTTCTCAGATGTTCTCTGCAAACTGTTTTCTCAACAAAATTCCTCTGATTTGTAATACTTAGGTTCACAATGAATGTTTTCTCAATCTGGTCTAGGTTATTTAAAAAAAAAATCAGTTTATCTTTGATTTTTGATATGTGATCTGAGAAAACTGTTCATCTCAGCACATTAAAAACAGAAACAAACCCACGTATATAAAGTGCTATATAGGAAGTATGGGCTTTAAACTCTTACTGAGTTTGGAATCAGTTGTAAAATGAATGTAATGCTTTAGTAGTAGAATAATGCAATTTATTTTTCCATGAGTGAGACACCTTTAGACAAGTAAATAAACGTTCACCTAGCCCATAGGTATGTACATGCTTAAAATGAATGCTATGTCATAGATTGCATCCTGCAAGCTTTTTAGTGTGTACATAGATCTGAAATTTTAATTTCCTTTTTGTTTCATTCAAAAATTTAGAAATATTTCATTCTGTTACTGTATTTGTTTTGCTTCTGAACTTTAAAGACAGCCTGATTAATTATATTCTTATATGGTTAAAGCTAAGTACTAGTACAAGCTGAGTTGTCTAGATAAGTATTCTGGTACATACTGCTTTATTCTTAAGACTACATATGTATATACGTATGTATATATATACACACAAAACCCACATTTTTGTGTTCTGTATCAGTTGGCAAGGGACAAAATTTAAATTTCCTTCTACTACTTCAGTATCTCTCACTGGATGAATAAAATATTTCTTTTTAATCCTTTCTTTTTAATTCTTTTAATGTGCAGAGACAGCAGAATTGCAGTTGTTAGCTGGTCTATTTTTACCTCTCATTTTGTACAGTAGAAAACCCCACAATTATGCATTGTTGAAGCTGAAAGTCACAAAAAATACTATAATTTATTTTTCTTTAAAGTTTCTGTAAGAGATTTTAATATCTCCAAGTAATTACTGTTAGGAGGAAATACTTTTACAGCCAGTTTTGTAGGTTACGCAGGTTGTTGTATGTTAGCTCTTACAACCGAATGTGCAAATTTGAATGTTCTTTCAATACATTTTTGCCTTATGTTCTAAACTGATATAATTTTGAATTATACAGGAGGTGCTGCATGTTGCAGGAGTGGAAATGCAGTTAACAGCTGCTGTTTCATTTTTGACTGTTCTACAAGAGGAGTCAGTGTCCATTCACACATACTCCCACTCCTTCCTACACATCATTCTCCAAAACGTGGAACACAGAGATGCAGGTCAGGGCTGTACAGTATACTGATGACTGATCTCTTCTGTATGTTTTGTTTCCTTAGTGACCATACAATCCTGTGTAAAGCAGTGAGTGCAGTCACTGTCACTTTGTATCTAGACTTGCATGAATGAAAAGATTTTTGCATGCTGGCTGCTTGCATACTGTTATTTAAATGTAATTCTGATTGAAGCAAACAAAAATCCTTTGTCTGGAGGACTAAATCCTAGTTGGTATTGTGTCCAAGCTTCTACTGAAGTACCAGGATTTTGCAGCTGAGAAAATGGAGGAAGGATGTTTGAAGTTTCTTCTGTGATGATTGGTTTTACTTAATGTCTTTTACACTATTTTGAGGAAACAAAGGGAAAAAAAGCCTCTTAGAAAACTAGAAAGTTTCAGTGGGCATAAGAAAAGAATGTGCTTCTATATGAGGGAAATAGTCTTTTCAAAACAAAGAGAATGATAATTTTTGTACAGGAATCAAAAAAGAGAAAAGAAATGAGGACAGAATTTGCTTCTAACCTATCCTGCTTCTTAGTCTGAGGTTTTAAATGCTTAATTTAGTAGCCTTTAGATACATAGGTCCTTGAAGAGGTGCACGTAAAAAGTAATAACTAATTTTGTAAAACTGATGTGTGTTTTGTTATACTCATTGTATGTACAACGTAACATTTAACCCATTTCATTTTAACAGGTGTCAGCAATGCATGGCTAGAAACTCTTCTTGCTGTAATAGAAGCTTTACCAAAAGAGACTATCAGACATGAGGTAACAATATTTTCAAGCTTATGCTAACAACAAATCAATAACATTTTGTAAGATTGTATTTCCCTGCAAATTTCATTCTTAAGTTAAACCTAAATAGCATCTAGGAGGTGGATTGGTTAAGGGAAGAGGCAAAAGGAGATATCGAGTCATAAAATGAGCAAGGCTATTTTTTGTCATCTTTCTCTGAACATTTAAACTCTGGCAATGTTAGTCACTTATCCATTGGATCGTAGAATTACAGAATGATTTGGGTTGGAAGGGACCTTAAGGATCATTTAGTTCCAACCCCCCTGCAACTTCATTAAGATTTGTGGAAGTTCTATGACTATGAAAACAATAATGATTGTGGAACATACTCTAAGAGAGGAATGTGCTAGAAGGTGGAACAGGAGGGTGACAATAAACAATTTTAGTGTTCTTCAGCAAATAAGACTGTAACACTTCCACTGCACTTCGTATTCTCAGTAACGTGTTTTTATGTATCCAGTTTTAGTTTACAGGTTAGTATTTCACTCTCTGTCTTCACGAAGAAACTGCATTTTGTTTGCTACTGGACTGAAATTCTGATTTCTGTTAAATGGAACTGAATGCTGAAGATCTGTTTCTTTGTGTATTTCAGTTGTTTGTGATACACCAAACACCTAATGCCCTGGAAACAATTTTTCACCATGTAGCTCAAGAAAGAGGAAGGAAATCTGTGACTAATTCATAATATCACTCCCCTTTACTCAGCTAATTTATTCAGTTTTGGTTTAAGTATTCATATTTCATTGTTAAGTTTAAAAGCTTTGCAACAGGCACATTGTACTGTGTTTATAATTTAAAACAATATGGAGATTTAAATATATGATTGTGTGGTATAAAAATATTCATTAAAATTAGTGGCTAATTGAAATCCAGTACTCTTTAAAAAACAAACTTCTAAAGGGTGAAAAGTTAGGTGGAAAATAAAAAAAAGATTAATTATTCTAGTCACCTCCAAAATCTAAATGTAACACAGTTTTACAGATGCCATTTAAAGATGGTGGAGTTTCTCCCCTGATTTGTCTCTGGGAACACATGTGTAAGTTTCCACGAAGATTTGCTTTGGGGAGATCACAGCTGATGAAAGTGTTGATTCAGGAGCTATACAGAAACCTAAATCTGAAAAGGAGCCTTTCGTGTTACTTGAAAAATCTTTGCGCGTGGCAGGGAGTTGGAACTAGATGATCTTTAAAGCCCCTTTCAACCCAAACCATTCTGTGATTTTGTATCAGAAAACATAGAATATTCTAGATTTTTGTTTTGTTTTGTTTTGTTTTTTGATTTTTTTGGTAAGTAAAAACCATAGGACTATCATAGACACCAGGGTTATAAAGGAAGGTGTGTGTCTCAAACCAGAGGTCAGCCTGACCTAGTATCCTGTCTCTGGCAATAGCCACTTCATGGGAGGGACTGTGTCTAGGTCAGTGATGGGAGTTAGTGTTACTAAACATGGTGTGTTTGCTGTCATAGTTCAAACACCAAATAAGTAATACACAGTTTTTAGATAACCAATGGCATGTTTCTTTATGCAGTATTGTAGGTAGAAGCCTATCTTATGTACTAATTCTAGTTTGGGTGATCTGTTTGTCCTTAGAGTGGCAAGATTCTCACACCTCAAAATTTCAGCCTGTGTTTTAGAATATTGGTGGACTTCCTGTATATTATTCTTTTGTGAAGCTCTGCAAAAGAGGTTGAATGAGGAACTGTGGCAGACAACAAGACACATTTCTGTAACATTCCTCTTGGTCTCTTGGTCCACCTGGATTTCTGTGATTATTTCTGCACAAAAAATAATATATCTAAAGGCCTTTCTTAAATTGTTTCTGGCACCATAGATGTGATTCAACAATTGATGGCAGAGCTTTCATAAAGATGCAGTTTTTGTGCATCTGTATGGAAATGAAACCTCTTCCCTACAAATCCCCGAAGTATGCATAATGAGAGGGATCATTGCCTCAAAACTTTACATTTGAGGAGGTGTTTCCTGGGAAAACTTATAGAAAGAACCTCAGAGAGGCTTCCTTGACGTTTCTCTGCATATTTCATTTTCTTGTGCAGGAATATATTTACAAATTCCATGAAAATTACCAGCTAATATCTATAAATATTCATATACACCATAGCCTCAAAATGAAGACAGAAGTAGACAGATGTAAAACTGTGTCTGTGATGTGAATCATAAACTGCTGTTTGGGCCAAGATTTGGGTTTAATATGCTATAATTAGCACTGAATATTGAATATGGGTTTCCAATAGGCAATTAAGACATAGTACATAGGCGTCATTATTGTTAGTACTGATTAATTCCATGAAAGGGGTAGAAGACACTTGGGATATGTTTTTCTAATGTTTTTCTAGACCTTTTTTTTTTTTTTTTAAAGAGGAATACATTATTTACCGCTCACATTTATTCTGTTCATACTTCTTCTTTTTTCTTTCACATAGATCCTGAATCCACTAGTTTCCAAAGCACAGCTTTCTCAAACACTTCAGTCCCGCCTAGTTAGTTGTAAAATCATGGGAAAATTAGCTAACAAATTTGAAGCTCATATGTAAGTAGACTGTACATATATTGTCATTCTACAGTATATACTGGTATTTTTTTGCTAGTGGGCAAAAATTACTACAAGAAAAGTAGATTTTACTGCAAAAATTAAATGCTTTCTTTTTACATATCTCTTTATCTGGATATTAATAATAAAAATATGTTCACTATGTAACTAGGCTATTCAAACTTGATGATGTTTGTCAGTTTATAACTTCAGTTTGTATGTTCTTCCAGAGGTTCAAATGGGACCATTTTCATGCCATTCTTCCATATTGTTTTTCTTACTAGGAAGTAAGCCAAACAGTGAATTTGTCTGCAATTTACAGGGACGAACAACATCACCTTAGACTTTCTTGTCATAAAGGGAAGAATCCTGTTCCTAACTTTTGATTTGTCTAACTAAATTTAACATGTAGAGATATATATATATTTTCTATCCCTAATTGTATGGAGATGTATCAGGAGCCACTGTTATCTGATATTATCCAACTCTTAGATTCAGTGCCTGTGGGTTTGGGCAGTGGTGCAGAAGAGGGAAGCAATGGTGAAAGTAAATCTGTGCAAAGTTGGTTTGGTACATTCCTTGGACAGTTTATCCAGTCTTACGATAGTGAGAGCATTTCACCAAACGTGTTTTTTGACCAGGTAGTTGGCCACATGTGATTTTGAATTACAAAAGAAATCCACTAAGGGCTACTGAATGCATAGAAACCATGTCTAGCTGAGGATTTCCTCTCTAATAATGATTTTGATTTGCCCTAAAATGCAAAAATTCAGCATAACAGAAAAGGTGAACAACAGGACCATATGACAAGACATTTAGGAATAAATGTCTTTAAATTATGATTTTTTTTCTTCAATAAAAAGAACTAGAAGCAGCCAAAATGAAGCTGTCCACACCTTCATTTGCTGTGTAGAATACGCTTGTTGGACACACAAAAGTTAATGAGCATGGTAAAGTAGTATTTTTTGATAATATTACCAAAGCTTTCAAATCTTTATTTTCAAAATTTGTAGAATTCTGGTGGAATTGCTTTTATTTAATCGATGTTACATTCTTATGAAAATCAAGTGACTTTCCAGATTACTTGGAATCTTATGAGAAATTTTAATAGTGTTAGCCATTATAAGTTCAAATTATCATACCTTCTTTTGCTGGGTTTCTTTAATATGATTCCTTGCTGTTAGAAGTAGGAAACCCCTCATTTCAGTGAACAGGTAGTAGCACCATTTCTGTACAGAAGCTACATATTAAGAAGGCAGCTGAGAATTTTCTGGGATGTAGTGATTTATACTACAATTTAAAATTTTTCTTTTATATTTCACATGACTCCCAGGTTATTTTTTTTAGAGTATTAAAAAAATCCCAATCTTGGAATAGAACATCAGTTTTTCTAGCTTCTGTTCCAACAGTTAGTTAAAAACAAGTCTTTTTTTGGAAGTAGTCCCTACTTCAGAATACTCTTACAATGCCAAATTCCCAACACCTTGTACAGTTTTTAAAACTTGAGGCCAAATTTTGCTGTAAGAAGTAAGTTAAGTTAATTTTTACTGGAATGAGGGGAGGCTGTGCAAGCTGGCTCGAAAATTTCTTGTCTGTGTCTTCATATTTCTCTTGAGTTTTGCAACAATGTAAGGATTTGGATAGAGATATTTTATGAATACTCATGACAGCATCTTGGGCACTGAAAGGAAACCCAATGGCTGATTCTGCCAAGTTTTAGTATGTGTTCTTACTTAAATAGGTTCAAAATAGTTATTTTGCATCTGCCATTGAATACTTGGGTCTACTTCCATAAAGGCATTGCAGCACTGAAGCTTTTAATCTTAAATTCTTTTTATATTTTTTTCCCCCCAAATATCTCCTTGGTGATACATGTATACCAAAGATGAGGTATTAGAGACTAATTGGTATTTACACTTCCATTTGTATAATTCTTTGTATTCTTGCAGTGGCTGTTCAGAAATGTTACTGAAGATTGTTATTAAATGAGGACAGCATCTCTAAGCCCACCTGCTATTTTTGTAGTTAAAAAAAAAAGATGGAACGTGAGCAAATTATGATGACTATAAATAATCCTTTTGCTGTTTCTGTATAGAAACATGTCTGATGTACCATATAATTTTCTTCAGAAGTAATATATGGGTAAAATTTGAGTACTACAGAGTGAAATTTATATATTCTTGTTCTATAAATTAATAAAAAGTGTTCACATTTTTAGTATTAAAAGAGACATTCTTCCATTGGTAAAATCATTGTGCCAGGACGTGGAATATGAAGTTAGAACTTGCATATGTCGGCAACTGGAACATATAGCTCAAGGAATAGGGTGAGTATAATCTTCGTAACAGCTTCTAAATGCAAAATCTTTCTTTAAAATATTTAATGGTAACCTAAAAGGTCCTTTTAAGATTTCTAACTTAATTCATGTGTACTCGGTAGTGGATTTGGAGTGTACAGATATTTTCTGAGGAATTAGTAGTTGGCGGTTGGCTCTTTTCTATTTTCAAAGTTTTATTTCTCTGTGATAGCAAAATTGCTGAACTATACAAACAATTTTTCTTTGTAAATAATGAGTTAATCTACACTTCTTGAAATCATGTCATTATCCATTGAAGTCATTGTGCTTGCTTAAAAATGGAAGAGGATTATGGCAAGTATTAGCAGTTTCTAATAATTAGTGTGTGGTTATTTGTGAAAAGATGCTGAATGTGTTTAGTAAGTGAATTTCAGTTCAGTGTCAACTTTTACTCTAAAATGGAAGAGTTTCAATATTGCACATGTAGGAACAGAAAAAGTCTGGAACTTTTATTTTAATAAGTGGTACATGTTAACTACCCACACAGGGGTGGTCTCTGAATGAACAAATATATTAGAATTCCAGGTCTCTACCTGTTATTGTGTCAGGAAGAAAAAAAGCAGTAACTTCTCTTACAGACTTAAAGAAATGATCAAGTAAGCTTCCCTGCCCTGTGTTACACAGCGGGGGTAGATTAGATCTTAAGAGTCCCTCTAGCTTTTTAAAATGTGAATTTATGAACAAATACAAGATAAGGCTGAAACTGAAATGTAATTTGAAAGATAAGGTAAATATGCACTGTAGCTTGTTGGTACCGGTGCTTATGGAAAAGATGTTTTCCTGTTGCTGTGGAACAGTTTATTTATTTATTTATTTATTTAATGGAGAGTTATGTTGTGATTTAGATTCTGAGTTATTAAAAAAAAACAAACCAAAACCCAAACAAAAAAAAAGAAAAAAAGAAACCACCAGAAGTTCTTGAAGCAATGTGATTTACCTCTCAGCCATGTAATACTGAAAAAATGTATGTTCAGGCAGTGTTTTAGCATACTCAGATATAGGGAATGAATATTCATGCTAAGAACTAAGCATTACTGCGTATTCTTAATTGAGCTTTGGTGTGGTAAGGTCATGCAGGAGAGTAATTTCTAGGTTCCTAGATAAACTTGTATTTATTGCATGCAAAATAATTTTTTATATATGCTGTAGGCATCTCTTCTGCAATGTCTTTCTCCTGTGAAAGTTCAGAGGATGTGAATAATGTGAAATCACAATATTACTCATCTCAGTAAAGTTACTCATTTGGTTTTGTGCTTATTTAATTTTATAACAAAGCATAGGTTAGAATGGTAAATAATTTTAACATTTTCCGTATTGAATGGCTTTGAATTTAAAAGAACTTGTGACTGTAGAGAATAAAGGTAGTTTTTGTCAATATTGTTGATATTTGTAAAACTGGTAGTTTAACACGCATTTTTCTACATTGAATTACTGAATAATTTGAGCTTGCATTTATTTTTACTGTATGCATGTATCCTTATGTATCTTAAAGTTGACTTCTGTTTAATGGGAGATTAAAGATGAGTGAAAGGGTTCTGTTTAACTTCAGGGAGTGAGGGTTTTTTTGCCATAACTACCAAATTTTGAATGGAGGGGTAGTTCTAACTGTCATATTAGTTTGAAGATTTTTGTTGCCACCAAAACAGAAATCCCCAGAAACATATTTGCATAAGCATTTCTTCCCTCCTCCTCATTTCTTGTCATGTCCGTAGTCATTTCCCCCCACCAGCTCGATTTCTGGGTGTGAAAACAGGAGGTATTCTTATTCTTCTCTCCTCTGACCATTCCTAGGCCGTATGTTCTTGTCTGTCTCAATCACCTTCCTTCCTCTTTTCTTATTTATTATTGCTCAATCCCATTATATTTTCTTTGGTATCTTATTTGAGGTACTGTCTGCATTTCCATGGAAAAAAGGTGGAAATACTGGATATGTCTTCCCAGTTCTTGTTGATAGTAGGTCTGCAAAAAAGATCTTTCTGATCTCTTAAAGCAATCAAGAATTGGTTGTAGGCTGAGACATGGGAAATTATGCTGGTTGGCAGCTTCTACAACAGCTATACTTTTATTCCAAGAAGCAAATCTCTTTTGAACTTATTATGCCAGTCACCTTACTGTGTAAATGTTTCTGTGTCAAGCGTATTTCACTCCTCCTTGATCATTTCTCTCATTAAACTCTGATTTCTAAGTCAGAGTTTATGGAACAATAATCTGCTGCCAGTGTGTAGATTCAAGTTGCCAGGACCATCACACACAGGCAGTGGCAGTAATTACCAAGGCAAAACCAGACAAGCAGAACCCTTTCTTTACTACTTCAAAACAAGCCCAAGAGGCAGTGTTTGGACTAGTTGGGAAACCATGTTTTCTCTGAGCAGTAGTTGCTTACCCTCTGTAAAGCAGGCTCATCTTTGAAGAGTAAGATTTCCAGACACTTCAGCATTATATTTAATAATTTTTGGCTTTGGACCATTGCACTGAGCAGTTTCTGCATATTTGATCAGAATAGTTTTTTTAGTGACATGGTGAAGTAGCTGGACTCCATTGATTTTTTTTCAGACTGCATTTTCTCTGATTTGTTTTGAGCTAATTTGAATGCTTTATAATGGTGAAGTTTTGCATTTTAAATTTGCGCGTTTCTTTGGTTGACAAAGAAAAATGTCCTGAGATTGACTGGAGGTTTTTATTTCATTTTTATTTCCTTTCAAATTTGTCAATTTTTCCTCCTTGACTACCCAAAAAATACCTAAATGATTATTTCAAGATAGAATTCTGTTTTGCTGTGGCAATATTGTTTCATTAGAAATTTTCTCTTGACTTCTTGCCTCACTTTGCAGGACAGAACTAACAAAAACTGTGGTGCTTCCTGAGTTAGTAGAACTTGCAAGAGATGAGGGTAGCAGTGTACGTCTTGCAGCTTTTGAGACGTTAGTGAACCTGCTTGATATGTTTGATGCAGGTAAGAACTTAATATAGGCTTATTAGCCCAGTTCTTAATGCTTTAATGCATCTTACAAATTTATTTAAATGTTTTTCTTTTCTGTCTGCATTTTTCAGGCATTTCTGATTTTATGTTGTTTATTGTTTTATGCTTCATGTATTTAGTGTCTTGCAGTGCTTTATACATAGTAAGTTTTAAAGAAGGTGAACCAGTTGTCCATGAAATCCATTACCTTATTCCAGGTTTCTAATGTAATGTGACTAAATGGAATAAGTAAAATTAATGTATAATTGATAGGAATATTGGGTTGTTAGTATTTAGTTAATACTATCAATACACAATACAAAATGTTAGCTCAACAGATGCTGTTTCTTGTAGTTTTTTTGCTGTTTTTGCCTCTTAACTGAAGCAAAGCTAAAACTAACTACAGACTGCAGCCTGTCTGCTGAGTTGAAGAACCTGGAGTAGGCAATGATATGATATTTGTGTGTGTATCAGTAAACCTTGCAGGTTTTAACATCCAGTGTTATATGTAAAATACGTTTGTCAATTTTGGAACAGAAAATATTTCCTTATGTTTCATAAACTGTAGCGTGCAGAACTGATAAATTTTAGAGGTACTAAGTGTCAGCAGTTACTATTTAAATCCCTTTAAACTTGTGGCTATGGGGCACTGAAAGCTCTCTCCTTTGCAATGAGGAAGTGTGTGTATCTTCTAATGCTCTTCTTTATTTAAAATAGAAAATGTAAATGCTTGTCTTTTTCTCAGTGCTCTGTATCTTTCCTGTGATCACCATGCCTATTTCATACTTCTCCAGGTCTAGGGGTGAGTGTCTGTGTCTTCATGTGAGGAAGGAGAAATTCTTTGTTGTATCCAGTTCTTTTGGCATAGTGGTGGTGGTTACCTACACACGATTCTCAGGTTCTCATCATAAGCTGAGTTCAGCACTGATTGGGACAAACTTTAAGTAGAGCTATTGTGGCTGCTGCAGTATAGGAGTGGTCTGGGTAACCACTGTACCTTGTCCTCCAATCAACTCGACTGCTCTGTCTAGATTTTTTCAGGGGGATGTAAAAGACAATAACAGCCACGTTTTCTGGCTCAGTTTCAGTTGTATTCTCTGCTGGGTTTTTTTACAACTGGAAATGTACCAAAGCAGCAGAGTACATGATAGATCACTGCTATAATGTATATGAAAAAAATATTTTATATTGTTGATCACTGCTCATTATTTGTCACTTTGCCTTTTATATTGTCTTTTTCTAAATACTTCAGTTGTTTGTCTTCATTACTAACTCTGTCTTTTGCACCACTCCCACTCCTGTCTTACTGACTACTACTCCTTCCTGATACATAAATGAGGAACAAATATTTACTGTAGAGGAACGTGGTGATGAACTACTAAAAAACATGATTACATATAAACCATATGGAGAAGTACATAAAGAAATAAGATAGGTTTGGGGAGCATCACCAAAAATGAAGTTTTAGCAGTTACTGCTTGTATTAATAGTATGATAGTAGGTTAATTTTCAAATTATTGAGCCTTTTCATTGGTGCTATCAAGTTTGTGCTTCTCTTTGCACCTCTCAGTCTTCACTCCTTCCTCTGCATGCCCCAATTACTGTGACTGATGCTTTTAGCCATTGAAAAAAGCTTTGAGAAAGCAATTGGGGATTATTTATTTACAGGTTTATAATGAATGTGTTTCTAGAATTTTGTTTTGTGCAGTTTTTGGTTTCATGGTTGAACTAGAAAATGAACATTTTGAAGGCAGATGACCCAAAATTGTATCCTAGAATTTCTTTCCCACAATATCAAAATATTTCTTCAGGTCAGTGTAAATATTTTGTTTGGCCATAATTATGTGCTGAACGTCGGTGCTGATCTTTCCATTAAAAAAAATACTAATCCCTTTAAAACTTTTAAAATGTATTTGTACACAAATTCAAAGGTCTTATTTAAAACAAGTCAAACCACATAAATTTCTTTGAATATTTACCTGCCTATTTTGTAAGGAAGGACACAGAGTACCTGGATTTGACTTTAATTTCTAAATTATTTTACTTCTTTCCTCCATCCTTAATTATTTTGTTTCTCTGTGAATGTATTGTTTACCAAAAGACTTTCAACCTCCTCTTCTCAGTAGATTGAAAAAAATCACTTCTGATGTATCCAGATTTTTATTTTACAGTCATGTTTGGTCTTGATCTCCCTGAATTCCTACTACTGTAGGAAATCTTCCTGTTGAAGTACTGAAGTATTGTTTCTCTCCCTGTATTCTTGGTGAATGGTGAAGTTAGTGACTGTTCATTTATTCTCTGTCTCATCCTTTACTGAGTGATGCCTTTTCCCTAAAATCCAAACGAACAAAAAATAAAACAGGTAAGTATTAAAATTTAGGCCCTGCATTATAGTAATATGTTCATCATTCTTCTCACTGCTTGCTTTCTACTTCCAATGTGTGTCTGCCAAAAATAATCCTGAAATACTGAATGAGATATTTTGTAACTTATTGTGGAAGTCCTCTCTCTGTGCTCTTTTTTTAGATGTCGACAAATGACTAACATAATTTTTTTTTTTTTCCAGATGATAGGAGTCAAACTGTGCTTCCCTTAGTGAAATCATTCTGTGAAAAATCCTTCAAAGCAGATGAATCTATCCTAGTTTCTTTATCTTTCCATTTAGGGAAACTATGTAATGGATTATATGGTACGATTGATTTATTTATTTGTTTATTTCTAAATCTTAAAAATGAGTAAAGATTGGAGAATTGGAAGACTTGGAAAATACCCAGATTTGAATATTTCAAATGAAATTATAGTTCTAAAAGGAAATACAAAAGTAAAGTCTGAAATCATCTATTGCATAAATACTGGATTTTATGAATTTCCTCTTTGGGTGTCCATTTCTTCATTGTTTGGGGGGTTTTGTGCATGTATGTTTAGACAGGGGCAGAGGGTTTTTTTACCAGACAAGGTCAGAGATGGTAACACAGTGGTTTGTGTTTATTGGTTTGACTGATTATTTTAATCCCTTTTTGGATGACTGAATTTTTGAAACTAGAAACCTTTGAAAACATGGTGTGATGTAAAATGTGTATAGTTACATCTGTGATTGATAACCTTTTTGAGGCATAGTAGAGAGCATGGCCCTTAAGGAACTTCAGGGGAGAAAGAAGACCTAATGGCTTGTGGATTCCTAGCTGCAGCTGAGACCAAATTTGTGTCCATAATTTCTGTGGTTTTTACTTGAGCATGGCAGATCTTTCCTTGATCATTCTGCTCACCGCGTACCCTCTACACAGAGCTTACCTGGAGCGGGACAGCACAGAATTATGGTTTTACATTCTACATTATCACCCTAGACTATTAAACCCTTTGAGCCTTCTTACAGATCTTTATAATGATCCTTTCTGATATGTTAGACTATCAAAGTGACTGTTGCTTCACTACAAATGACTCGAAAGGGTTGTTCCACAGTGTCAAACTTATTTACAGAAACACAGAGCTAAGACAGTCCATCCTGGTTTTATTGTGTCTTCCCAGTTTTATTTTCTCTGAGTTTAAGGACTTTAATTACTGATCTCTCTTCACCTCTGATCTCTGTCTGGCAAGTTCGTATTTTTCTTGAAGTATTATGCCTTAGGAGAACTGAACAAAGTGAAAGGCTTGCTTCATGTGTCTTGAGGCTATATTGCTGTTTAAGTTTTTCAGTGTGAAAAACTGCCTTTTTCTTGTTTTAACAGTTTGCAATAGTTTGACAGTATTTGTTCAAATGCAGCCTATGAAGACTTTTACCTTAATATATCTGATATCTAGTTACTCTTTCTCTTTCCTGGCCTCATGCAGGTGATGTAGATCTGCCCAAGCATGGTACCTTGTCTCTGTCCTACTGGAATAATAGTCTAAATTTTTAAGACCATATGTCCAATGTTTGGAGATCAGTTTGATCTCTACCTTTTGAAGAACAATCAGTCTCCCTCCTAGGTGTTGTCAGGATATTGAATAAGTTTCTGATCCAGCATCCAAGAAACCGAATGAAAATACTGAATAGTAGCAGAACAAGGATAGACTTTTCTTTATACAGTTGCCAGTTCTTGTCAATGAACCGTAGGTAACTTTCTATTAACTGTTTTTCCAAACAATTTTGCAGCATCTTTATAATTTTCCATCTCTCTTTACCAATCCCTAATATTGCTTGTGAAAAACATGACCTTTGCTGCCTCTTTGTATTCACAGGTCCAGCTGTCCAGTCATAAAAGGAAATGGAATTATTTTGACAAGTTTTGCTTTTGCCATGTTGGCTGCTACTCATTTACTTGTTTTCTTTTCAGTATTTACCAGTAGATTTTTGATTTTTTTATTCCAATTTTTTAAAAAAAATGAAAGTAATCTGACTGATCTGTAATGATATGGCTTGTCCTTCCCCTCTCCAATGATTAAATGTCAGTACCACTTCAGCCTTTGTCCATTCTGGTATCTCACTTAGTTAAGATTACAGCAGCTAGTACTTTAAATACTTCTGAACACTGGAATGAAGCATGTCTGACCCTGCACATTTTGAAAACCTCTCAAGTATTCACTGACCTACTCTTTCTCTGCTTAAAGCTTGAATCTTTGTCACAGTTAATTGTACTGATCCTTTCCTTGATTGTTCTCTTATTACTAATGTACTAATAAAATTAACTGTAATTTTTGAAGTAATTTTTCTAGTTGCATTCTGGTTTGTTCAGTGTTTTCTACTTTTATATCTCTATTATCTGTTGCAAAATGGCCTAATTTTTCAACTTTCTGCAGGCATTCTTCCTGTGACTGAGTTCCATAAAGTTCTGAGTATTACAAGAATTACGTAAACAGAAATGAAGATTCACTGTTATAGTTAGCTGTGTTTTTTCTGTAATCACTTTTTCTGTATAATGTGTACTGGTGATACTCTGGTAGACTCAAGGTGGGGGGAGGAGGAATAAGAATTTACATATTTGATAGATTTGTAAATGAGTTTTGTTTTGGGATGTTATTAATAGCATTTTTAATGAGAAAAGTAAAGTTTTTTTTGTTGGTTTTTTTTTTGGAGGCATTTTTACTCCTGAACAGCACTTACGGTTTTTTGAATTTTATAAGAAGCTTTCCACACTGGGTTTACAGCAAGAAAATGGGCACAGTGATAATCAACTACAACTTCAAAATCTGGAACAGGAAAAGAAGCATATTTTGGTCAGGAAGAACTGTGCTTACAATTTTCCAGTAAGTGTCATTAAAGTTAAATAATTTGTGTTGTGCATATAGTTTACTAAATAGGGACTGCATGAGTGATAGAGAAGTTATTTTCAAATAGTACATTTTTAGCTAGATTCTAGCTCTTTCCTGGAAGGTTCAAGTTAATGGCTTAAAGTAGAGGTTGTCCAAAAGAGTTACCAGGAAAGGTTCCTTTTTACACAGCCTCAGAAAATTATCGACAAGTTTTGACTGAGTGTTGCTGTTCTAAGAAGTTACTGGTCTCACTCTTTCTTATACATTTTCTTCAAACCTTTAGCACAAAGGCTGGCTGTGAAACAGAAGTCCCCCATTTCAAACAATTCAAAGCTACGTTTTCACATTTGCTGTATGTCATGGCATTCTAGGGAGTTGAAGGTTGAATCTGAATGGTTAGATTAATATTTCAGTCATGTTTCTGCCTGAATACAGAAAGTCTTTTCAAGTTAAAGTGAGGTCTTTAAACATACTACTTGTGTTTCTGTAAATCTACTTTGTATTGTGACATTCTGTATTTATATTAAAAGAAAATATGTTTGTAATGAGCCAGTAGACATTTATTTTTATTCTGCCTTTTAAAGACAAGCACCTTTTATGTAGGTAGACATCTGTTGGTTTATTTGAGCAAAACCGATGTATGTTCACAAAAAACTATGTTGAAATTCAGATGCTTGCTTTGCTGCTTGCTAAAATGTTTGTTGTTTTTGAAGTCTCCAGTTGCACCTTCGGCTAGTGTATGGAAAAGTTAGCAATACTTATAGAACTAATGTTCTGTATCTTGTGGTTTTAATCTGTGTCATCAGAAATAAAGCCTGCAGCATGTCTGGAAGATATGTAAATCCAGTTTAGTTCTCAACTCCAGAGTTTGTCTGGTGCCTGTGTTTTGGCACAGCCATCAAAAATGCTACACTTCTTATAAAATCACAACCTGTTACCTCGCAAGTGTTTTTCTGGTTGTAGCGCAGTGTTTTGATCTGATAGTGTGGCCCTTTAGTTATGCAGTTAATAGAAGACTTTATCTTTTCACAGGCCATGATTGTTTTTGTGGACCCAAAGAATTTCCATTTAGAACTATATTCTATATTCTTCTGCCTTTGTCATGACCCTGAAGTTCCCGTCAGATATACTATGGCCTTAAGCTTCTATGAAGTAAGTCTACAATGGTTCTTTGTTAGTAGCTACATATTTTTATTTTAAGTTGTTTTCTTCTTTAAGCTTACATTTATAACTGTTCAACCAAAATAAAAAGACTTGAGATAACTTTTTGAAAGGTTCGGTTTATCAAAGTTGTGCAGTCCCTTCTAACCTCTATATATAGCCCATATACACACATTAGTCTAAGTTGTGTGACATTTGGCTACAAGAGCCTCCTGTTAGGTGAACTTTTAAGGAGTAAAACCTAAAAGGAACTTAAAATGGTCTAGTACTACAAACATAAGCAATTGTAGCAATTACAGTATTTGAAGCTTTTCAATGCTATTAGAAAACAATGAGACAAATGAGAGAAAGGCACTTGCCATTTCTGGTCCTGAAAACGTCCTTTAAAATGGTGGAGCTTGCTGGTGTATTCTAGTATTCTGTGGAGAATATTTATATGGGTCAAATCTAAATTAAATGCTCAATTTAATATGAAACTACTTGGAAATCTATGCAGATATAAATGAATGTGTATTCTTATTACTCCATTCAGTTTGTGTAAGTTACACTGTATTATTTTCATGAAAGTTAAAAACCGTACAACTGCATAGATTTTATTAGCTATGTGGGGTGGATTCCAGAAAAGAAAATGCACTTTCTCCAGATTGTAGTAACATATATAGGGAGATCTTCAAGGTTTTCATAGTGTTTTACTGAGAATCCTTGTGTTTCAGTCTTTGAGCTAGCCTTTTATCCCATTCTGTTCCTGTGGAAACTGGTAAGTTAAGAAGCTTGCTGAAAGCATTCAAATCACTACTACATGCCTAAAAGTTTTTTTTTCCCACCATTATAAGAAAGATGGATATATTTCCAGTTCTTGTTACCTACTGATGCTTTGTCTTAGGGAATGATAATCCAAGGTAATTGTTGAAATTGTAAAATTAACGTCTAATTCTACATAATATTTTGTGTTAGATGTATAGTACTTTTAAGGTACTGCTTGAATATGCAGTATGTTAGCTGATTTTAAAAAGCCTGTGAAACTATACCTTGGTCTGAATGTACATTTGGTGCTTGTTGATTTAATTTAACACCATAACTAGGCAACCATGTGACAGCCAAAAATGGGTAATTTATGATATTCACTGCTAGGTGGACTTTTTTTTTTTTTTTTTAAATGAATAAACTGTAGACATTTCCTTAAAGCTTCATCTTGATTAGGAGCAAGCTCTTATTTACACTTGGCTTATATAAATAAAATCATTAAAAATAATCATCTAAATATTCAGTATCGCAAAAATCTTATTCCTCGAGGTTTTCTTATGTTAAAAGGGTTAAAACTCTTTTAACAGTCTGGAGATGGACTGGGGGTGGTTTTTAGAATTTCATATGTGGTTTATGAATCACAGTCAAAAAAACCAAAGGAGGACTGAAAACTTCAGATGGAAAGTTTAGGGAAACTTAAAATCCAGCATAGGCTAAACCAGTTTTTATGTTTTATCTTCTGTAAGTTATGTAGCAGTCTGAAATGTTAGTTCTCCTAAGGAGCATGATCTACAACATTTGAATATGCCAGAAGGATTTTTTCCTAGCCTTGTGGTCTTAAAATTTTTTGGTAGATGTAAAATAGTGTTAAATTTAAAAGCATGTTTGATGGTTAGATAATAGGCCAGTTTCTTGACACATATTCTTTATATTAGCATATTTTAATGTGATAAGTGGGAAAGCACACAACTTTAGTAGTCTGATAATTGTTCCTCATCCCTTCTTCATACTTGCTGTAGAGTAAGCACATATTGTTGTAGTGGCATGAAACTAGAGAATGTTTCACCTTGCTATTTTACTGTCATTTTTAGGTGGCTAAGCTTTTAAATTCTGGTGTGTATACAATACATAAAGAACTGGTTACACTATTGCAAGATGAGTCACTGGAGGTAACATACTTTTATTGGAATTTTATTTTCCTTGTTACAATGAGGCAGATTATCTTGATGTTTAATAACTCTTCAATAAGACAGTAGAGTAGCAGTTTGAAAGGATCGACAGCTTTTACTTCTGTTTCAGAGATGCTTCATAAAGATGACAGCGTTCTGTGAATAAAAAAGGATGAAAATAGGAAGGTGTTTGAATTTGTTAAACCCACACTGAATTTATTAGCTTTTAAAAATATTCTAAATTGTTTTAATTGCTATATTATTTATTACCTTATAAATTCTATGGAAATATTTGGATTTGATACTGTGTTAAAATAATCCTTGATAGTGTTCAAGGTTTTTGCTTTGTTTTATTTTAATTTCTCCAGTTGAAGGGGAGATTAAGAAGTTGTGTATGGTTCAAAGATAAAGATTTATAGAAAGAGTTTCAGTCCAAGCTCTGGTACAGAATCTGTGAGTATTTACGGGATAGCTTAGTGTACCTCAGTTTCAACCTGCATAAACGTGAATCACATAGCTTGATTACAGATGACATAGAGAGACCTTTTAGGACTAGAAAAAAGACAAAAATTTATTGAGATAAAATCATCATTTTCTTTTGCTTTCAGGTTCTCTTTTGGTACCCTTTTTAGACATTTTCAAGGGAATTAATAGTGCTCATAGGACATCTACTTACAGTTTATGAAATTCTGACCCATCTTTAAAGATTTCTCAAGTTGAACACCTGAAAGTTGAGACTCAGAAGCAGCTGGTGATTCTGAAAAATTCCATGTTTTGATACCTATAATAAAAAATATTTGGTGCTTTATCTTATTTACTACCTCAGTCAGAATTGGTGACAAAAATATTTAATTATGTACTTCCCTAGTCTATTTTTAAGCATTACAACATTTGAAAGTAGGGCTATTCTATTAATATAGGGTATACATTCTGTTTTAATTTATCAACTGCAGTTTTTCTTATAGCAGGAAAAGTTGCTTTTAAGATTCAGCTAACAAATATAAAAAAACCCCATTTCTTTGTTTTTGTCAAGGCTCTTTTGTTTAAGAATGAATGTTGGTTTTAAAATATTGTGTGCTGTGAATAGCGTAGAAAGTATTGACTGTGGTATTCATATAAATCAAAACTACAGCTTGTTTTCCTAAACTTTTAACTTATAGTACTTGTATTACTTACTACATTAAAACATTATTTAACTACATTAAAACATCAATTTTAAATCCCAGTCCTCATCAAAGCAAATATGTTGCATCTCATTCTTTTTTGTTAAGATGGATATGAAAGAAAAATACCATAAGAGATGTCACTGGGGGTATGTTGGTGAGAGATAAAAATTGAGTCAAGTTAATTTACAGAACTCATTTATGCAGCCTTTTTTAAATAGGTGCTAGATGCCCTGGCAGGTCACCTCCCTGAAATCCTTGAACTAATGACTAATGTAGGAGAAAACAGTGGATCAGAGAACAAGGTGAGTATTCTCATGTTTTTTTAATTTGATTTCTAAATGAAGGTAGTAGCAAAGTTGTTCAGACATAAATGGTATGAATATGATTTTGTTATTAGTTTCTGCTTTGGTGAGATATAAAGTTTCTGTAGTTTTTTGATTGTTCTTTGACTTTATAAACTTAATAATAAAAATAATTGTGAAAGACTTGATATCATAATGTTCATCCATGTTCTTTTTCTAATTAGCCACAGATTTGCTGAAATAAATAAAATTTTGAAATACAATAATTAAGTTAAAACATAAGTTGGTTTCATGCTAAAGGAATGACAGCTAGCACAGAACTTTTATTATTATAATTTTTTTAATATTTATGTGGCAACTGCCAGTGGTTGCATTTTCAGACACAGTTTCTGCTAGAAGAAAGCCTATTTGCTGAAGAAAGGCACTGAAATAGGATTTAGGAGATCTATAGTCAGCTCCCAACTTCACTAATTTAATTGTGTGTGGCTCTGGATGATGGTTTATTCAGTCAATCCTCACCTGTAAAATGGAACATAAAAGATCATCTCCTGCTTCAAGATGCTGTTTTGAGCATACTTCCTAAATATATGGAGAAATTGAGATATTCCAACAATATAAGAAATGAATAAATTTATTTTCTTGTGTGGAGAAGAGTTGAGAGTGGAATTTAAAATGTGAACTTTTCAAATGTTTACTGCTGTAAATCTATATAACATATAACAAGTGCAATGTCAAATGTGGCACTCTGTTTCATGTTGCTTAGTGCTAAAGAGACTTTAGCTTGGCTGCTACAAAGTCTTTGCTTCCCACTGAGAAAAGGTGTATAACTCCTACTAAAATCAGTTAGGGAGCTGAGAACAATAACTACAAAGATCAAGAGGCTAGAAGGAAAAAGGGATTTATTTGGTTTGAAAAAGATGGTCTTTCATACCTGTAAAAGGGTACAGTTATCAGTTTTTCTTTGTCAGGAGAAGGGGCTGGAAATGAAAGTTAATTTAGTTAAGTACTAGAATAGCTTTTTGAGTAGTAAAATGGAATTTACTGCTGAGGGGAGATTATATAAACCCAATCATTACATTATTATAAAACCAAGTTAGACTAACAGCTGCTGGAAGTGGACACAGTGTAGCTGATCCTGTCTGGGGAGAGGAATTAACTGACCTCTTAAAAATATTTTCACCTGCTGCATTAATATGATGTACTTTTTAAGCATGGTAACATGACATACAGCTAGAACATGTAAAATTATTTTAATGTTTATATTTTTATTTCTAGTTATTGGCTATTCCTGACTTGATTACTGCATTAACAACAGCAGAACAGAGAGCAGCAACTTCTTTGAAATGGAGAACTCATGAGAAGTTACTACAAAAATATGCATGTCTCCCTCATATCATATCAAGTGATCAGATTTATTACCGTTTTCTTCACAGAATGTTGACAATCATTTTGACAAATGTGAGCCCACCTGTCTCTTTCCCGTTGTTTTTTGTTTGTTTATGCTATTTAGTCACCAGATATTTGCTATGTGTAGTACTTTTTAAATTATCTTAAAGTACTGTTTCTCATTGCATATGGTATATCAGGCTGTGGTTTTTTTAATATAAGACTGGGAAATTGCTTTGAGAACTTGCCCCTAATTTGAGGAGCAAAATTTGGATTGACAGGTTTTCATGTTTTTCCTCCCACCTGAGAGTTCTTTTCTCTCCTTGTGCTCATTATCAATTTGTTTCTGGGTAAATCAAAACTTTTTCCTCTCAGATACACCTTTTCCTGATTCCATATGTTATTTCACATTGTGTTTCATTCTTTATGAAAGAACACTTTATTCTGAAAGTGAATGTTCGTTGTAAGAGATTTATTTTCTAACACCTGTAATATAGAAGGCACCTTCCAAACATGGAATACTTCAAGGCATTTAAGAAATAGTTGAATAAACAGCTTAGGCAGAAGGGATAAAGAAGTAGGTGTTCCATGAACTGGCCAAACTTCCTAATTCTCCATTACATTATGCCAATTATTTAAAAATTTATGAAGTTAGGCACTTTTTAAGCTATTTTTTTCTACTTCTAGAATTTTTAGACATTTTTATTCATATTTCTTTGGTATGTTTAATTGTGTTCTCTTTATTTCTTTCAAGAATGTCCTACCAGTCCAAAAAGCAGCTGCTCGAACTCTCTGCGTTTATTTGCGTTATAATCGCAAACAAGAACAGAGGCATGAGGTTATTCAGAAACTGATTGAACGTAAGATAATTTTTCCACGATTACTTAGAGATGCCAGTTAGTCTTGACTGAAGATCTATTTCTATATATAGTTATATTTATTCAGTGTAACTTCCTGCCTTCACTGGAGGGATTACACTTAAAAGACATTCAGTTGCTCATATTATCACCAGGCAAAACATATTGCGCGTATGCAAGGAATATCTGAAATTTGTGCAAATGAATTGGGAAAGAGGCAATGTGGGAAATTGATAATATGCCAGGACCCCTCCAGCCCTACTTCTTGAATGCAAAATTGCTTAGCTGAAAGTTCTACAATATACAAAACAGAGTTCCTCTGTAGAAATAAAATTCTCTAGAGGCTTCAGCATAAGAAGTGCTGAATAAATCTTCTCAGAGATTAATTTATGAACAAGTTAGTCACCTAAGGTGACTTTCTGGTCTATGCTATGTGTTTTAAAGCTAGGTTAGAAGTTTGAATAGGTCCCATTAGCAATCCTTAAAGTTTACACAGTAATTTTGATACACCAGTGACATGGTTTGAATGTCATACAGGGCTTTGTTCAACACAGTAGCCAGTTCAGTTAGTATTTTTGCTTTTTCAAATTGTTAGAGAGACCAATTGTATTTCTGAAAAACAATGCTCACTGACAGGTATGGTCATAGTATTCAGAAGGCTAGGTTTTCACTGAAATAAAGAATTGAGATAGTCTGAGAAAGCGTGTCTTGTGATGAGTGTGATTATCATCTTTGAAATGTTAGGTTAACCTTTGAAATGTTACCTGTCTGACATTGAAAACTTAATAGGTAATATCTGTGCATTGTTGTTTTTCAGAACTGGGCCAAGGAAAAAGTTATTGGAACAGACTTCGGTTTTTAGATACGTGTGAATTCATTATGGAACTGTTTTCAAAATCATTCTTCTGTAAATACTTCTTTCTACCTGTGCTTGAACTTACACATGATCCAGTGGCAAATGTGAGGTACTGTACAAAAAGTATGCAGCAGTGGACAGGAAATAAAAACTTTAAATGCTATATTTAGAAATATTGCTACAGGTTTCATGTCTTGCTTAAATAATGGGACTTGAGTAAAAATGTACAGAGCCTTCACGGTGACCAATATTAAAGGTGTAGGGCACTATGGGAATGATGTTGGAAAACCATGTAAGTAGGTCAGTCTGAGTGTTGGAGGGACTCATCAAAAATGTCAGGTTTTGGGAGCGAAAGGAACAGTGAGGCAGAGAAGCCAACAGTAGGTGAGAAGAAAATAATTTGCTGTTTCATGGATATAGAGAGAGAAATATAACTTCACAGTTTCCATTATTTTCCATCCATTTCAATCTCTTTATATGCAAAGTAAATCACACGAGCAATTCTTTCAGTAGTCTGAGCTTAACAAGTTAGCATAGTTTTACCTTATGTAAAAGTTTTGTACTTCATTGTTAAATTGAAGAATAGAAAAATATAAGGGAATTTGGTATGTTATGCATTTTTTTGCTTTTAACAAACATTTTAATTAAAAGTGCTATTGATACAATATTAAAATTTAATGGAAACTTGAAATAACTTGCCATCCCTTATCTGACATGAAAATTAATTTTCTCATAATTCTTTTCTGGATTGTTCCCTAACACTTTTTACAGAAAGGATGCACCATCTATAGTGGACAGAAGTTTAGAAGTCAGACGTATTTGTTAGCTCATGATTTTAAAACAAACACAGAGTGGCGTAACTCTGTAATGGAAGTTGTGAAGATTAAAATGTTTCGAATGTGTGAAAACAGTAACATGAATTTTTGTAAGAAAATCTTTTTGAATGTTATTGATCACAAAGTTACCATCATCCTTGCAGTTGTATGGAGCTGCAGTTACGTAAGTTTTGGTGAGACTTTGGCTGCTTGGTACTGATGAACCAGATTTCCAGTGTATTTAGGTACCTGATAGAGTTAGATGTGTAGATAATTTTGAAAATCTAGAGGTATGCTTATTATTCTGGGTTAAAACCCAACCAACCAAATTAACAAAACCCAACCCCCAAAACCCTCAAACCTGAAACAACAACAAAAAAAACCCAACCAAAAACTCAGCCAAACCAAAAATGATAAGAACTGAAAGAAACCCCAAAAGAAATCTTTATTGACTTTCAGGACTGTTTTCCTGATCTATGGAGTTTTTGAAAATGTTATAGTGTATCTGGAAGCAATACATAAGCAACAATAATTTTCTGAAAAATCAAACCTGCTAACTATTTTATGTCAAATGCTAGCATGTAGTACAAAAATTAATAATGTTTATTAAACGTCTGCATGAAAAGATGAATATATACTTTTTTCTTTTTTTTTAGAATGAAGCTATGCTATTTGTTGCCAAAAGTTAAATCGACTCTGAAGATACCCGCTGATAAACATTTACTTCAGCAGTTAGAGTTATGTATAAGGAAACTTCTGTGTCAAGAGAAAGACAAAGATGTCTTGACTATTGTAAAAAGAGTAAGCATTTTTATTTTCCAGCAGCATTTTGTTTTGGGGTTATTGTTAAAAGATTATCAACGTTATTCTTTCTGTTGATTCTCTTAATGTAAGAACAGGAGACTAAAGAATTTTATTGTCTGTCATGTAATTTTGGACAATTAAGAGAAGATGTAGTGTAATGCATTCTGTCAAATTTGAGAGTTGCTGTTTCCTTGGTTACTAATACTGCAGTTATTTTGTAGTGACTGGGATCCAGCACTAGCTCAATGACCGTTTGTGAAAAAAACAACAGATGACTAAAGATAGGATTAAATATTGACCCTAGTAAAAATGATCAAGTCTTCGAGGTAGAGATATCTTGTTGATCTATATATTTACAATATACAGATAAAGGATTCATGTGATTTTGAAATGTTACAAATGTCTTTGTAATGTGAATAGTCATGAAAAAGTACATCTTAAAGGGATGCCCATGCATAGTTTAAAGGGAGCCACGAAGTAGCTAAAGTAGGTGGCTTCCTTATAGGGCCAGTCTGCAGGAGAGATTGGGTGAACACCTGCATGGGGCATCCTGGCTTATTCACAGATTCCTGAATTGTTTTTATAGTCTCGGTTCCTAGTTCCATGCTCCAGCCGTTCATGCTTCTGTGCTTTTCTTGAGTGTATTTTGAATTCTAAATAGATAGTCTGTCAATTATTAGTCTTCTTCATGAGTCTCAGCAGGGCTCTGACAGTTTTTAATTGCATTTATAAAAAAAAATGCAAGCATAGGCTTCAAATGTTTATGAAGAAAAGGTGTGTTTAATTTTGAATATGACTATTCTAAGCTGCTTAGCTGGACAGTTTTTTAGTTTAAAGTGTGGCATGCTGCTGAGTAACAATCATGTTTTGATTTTCATTATAGACAGTGTTAGAATTGGACAGAATGGAGATCTCTGTAGATGCTGTAAGTACTTAGTAACTTTAATACTTACAACGTACGTTTAATTCCCATTTTCATGTAGTGATTTTTTATTTTTATTGATTTTATTTTGAAGTTTCAGAAAAGATTTTACGAAAATGATTTATTGGATCAAGAAAAAGAGAGACAAGAACATCTTCTTTTGGAAATGGTATTATCTTATGAGTACAATCTGTCCTTTTTTTAATAGTTTGTAGCTAAATTTTAATGAGGCAATAATTTTAAGGTAGTGGAAGTGCACATTATGGAGACATCTTGTAGGTTCATAATCTGTGTGTGGTTTCATTTTACAATTTACAATAGGGTTGAGACATAAGTAACATGTAACTTCCTTTTCTGTACTACCTAAATTTTGCTGTATCAATTAGAAAGGAAAACTGTAATTTCTTGAAAAATACTCATGTGTGATGCCTTGATAGTTCTAAAATCCAAGCCCTTCAGCACACCTTTTTGAAATCTGTTTGAGGGAGCTTAGCAATTTGTTATGCATGTATAACATAATAAATCGAATAATGAAACACCTCAGAATTGACAGACAGCTTCAATAGGCAAAGCAATGAATGTCCTAACTTTTGTGCCAAGGAAGCTGAAGAAGGCTCTGTGTGTTGCAAGCTTTCCTGTTAATCAGAAAAAAGGCCACTGATATCTGCTGCCTGTCAGGAGGGAGATTTAGTGCAGGTTATATAGAGTGAAAGGTGCTGCAAGTTACTTAGGATTTGGAAAAGATGTCTGCAGAACGGTTTTGCAACTTACAAAACTATTTATCCTTAGTCATGTCTGTAAGTGAAAGCTGCAGCAGGCACTTCCCTACATAGCCTACTATGTTTTCACAAAGCCTAGATGAGATTACTACAGTACTCTGCTCTGCTACCTCTTCTCCAGCCTGAGGTGGGAGAAGCTAACAAGCTGATAGGATTTAGAAGAAACTGAGTTTCATTCGCATGGTTTCTCTGACTTGAGGTAATGAAGCTGCTCTGTAGTGAACCAGAACAGATTCAAGACTGTCCAAAACCCACTTTTTCCTCTTTGTGATTCTACAGAGCCTACATTTCTGGCCCACTTTGATGTCAATAGGTACTGCAGGCCTTCTCTTCGGTAGCAAAGTTTCGAGTTTTGTTATCAGGACCTGCATACATATATTCAAAGACTTGAACTTAGCTTTAGCAGTCTTTAGGTAGATAAAATAAATGTTTTCATAGTGAAAGCAGTTGGGGCCGTGGTAAAATAGCCTCTGGTATGCTCTTCATTATTGTTTATTGTATAATAACAATTTTTACCCTATTTCTGCAGCTAGGCTTTAGAAGAGCACCTGTATTTTCATGATACATCCCATTGAAATGGGCATACCTTCTGTATCACAAAGGTCTCATTAAGCATTGTCTGTGAGACCTATGCTTTTGAGTAACTGGAGATGCAGACAGTAAATTGTGACATCCTGACAGCGTTCAAGGCCAGGTTGGACAGAGTTTTGCTCTAGTGTGAGGTGTCTCGGCCCATTGCAGGGGTTTGGAACAAGGTGATCTTAAGGTCCTTTCCAACCCTAACTATTCTATGATTCTATGTTGCAGTCACAAATAGACAAGGACCCAGTGAACCTACATAAATATATCTGACTGCTACAGATTTTAATACTGAATATGTTAATATGTTTTCTTAATTTTAGTAACTGACTTAATAGAAACTATATTCCAGCAACCTTGACCTGAATTATTTTTTTTTTCTTTTTTTAACTTGGGTAGTAATTAGAATGAAATTAAAAAAATAGAGTAGGACAATTACAGTTCACTTGGCACTTTTATTATTAACATAGTACAGAAAATAAGCTAACATTGAATAGCTTTTTAAAGGTGGAGTGGTATCTATTCAACAACAATCCTGAAGCAAGTATTGGCTTTTGAAATTATTGATGTAGCTGTATTAACACTGTCTTCTGTCTATGAATGTACTCTCAAAAGGTTCTAAGGCTAGCTAATATTACAGAAAGGCAAAGAAATTCCTTAAACCTGAACAATTGTAATACTTGGTTTTGTTTTCATAAAGGCTTATCAAATGCAGATGTTAATTTTAGACCTTTGAAAAGTTTAACATATGTGAAACACCTTACCATTTGAGAAAAACATTTTCATTGAATTGTATGCTTAACCTAAAAATATTGCTAGGTCTATTATCAGAGTATCTGGGTAGCAGATTTCTGTATCTTTTTAATTAAAAAAAAAAAAAAGGCCAGGTATAATTTTAATAATAAGTTATAAATCTGGACCTCAACTCTGAGGTTCCTCCATAATTGCAGTCAACATTTTTTTGGTGTGACTTTTATATAGGATATGTACCCTGATTTAATTTTGTTCTATTTAATTGGTTATCAAGATATTCACTTGGGGCTGTAGAAAAAGTTGGAGAGAGTAGGAATTGACTGTTATTTTGGTGATTTGGAAGCAATTCCCAGTTGGAAACACAATTTTTTTTTTTTGAGGAATATCTAAGAAAATTATCTGTTTTTTTAGGAACAATTAGAAAAAGAGAAGCAGCAAAATGAAGGAAGATCTACAAATATTAATAACAAAATATTTGAAAAGAAGCGTAAGTTTGTTTATTTGTGTACATTTTGTTTGTGCATGCATTGCTCTTCTGCAAAAGTAAGAGAAAGGTGCAGAGAAAAAACATTTTATACAGTAAATAGAGTTTTAGAAAGTGGCAATAAACCTTTTTTTCTGTATATTTCTAAAGATACTTATAAACACTGGCCTCATTATATTAGAGGGAACACTTCTGGCTTTATTAATAAAACACATGACAGGTGTAGTTCACTGGTATTTTTAATTTTGGCATGTAATGTAAGTACTTCTCTGTGGTATTTCTGAAGTAGCAGTAGCAATGGATTTGGTATTGCTGTTTACCCCAGGGCTGTGATATGTTATGTCCTCTTTCTTTTTTTAAGTTAAGCTTAAGAGAGGGGTATTTATACTTGGATTTTTTTTAGGCAGAGACAGTAAAACATCATCAGTTTTGGCAAAAAGTATCACACTGTCTATTCCTGGAAGCTCTTCTGCTACATCAGCAGGTAAGAACTCTTAAAAACTCTTCTTGAATATTTTGGTGTCACATCAGCAGGTTAAAACCCAGCAAAGCTGCTATTGGGATTTGTGAGCTAGTTTAATCTACCACACGTAGGAAATGATTCCATTCCTAGAACTGAATGTTTTCTATGTTTTTTAGTTTTAGTTTAATCTTTAGTGTATAAATGACATAAAGTTTATTTATTGTTATTGAAGTATTTAAATCAGTTCCTTCAGTTAGCATAAGCTGACAGAAAATTATATTAAAAAGTGATTTTAATTACTGGGGAAATGCAATTATATCTATGTTAAAAAATTTTGCTACTTATAATTTTAGGCAAAGAAGACAAAAAATCGAAGTTGGTTCGAAGCCAGTCTTTCAGTACTCAAGCGCTACATCCAAAATACAGCACCTTAGACAAGTGTCCTAAGTATCTTTATTAACTTCATTCCTTACCCCATAGGCAACTGTTCTGAAATTATATGCCCATGACTCTGTGAAAATAGTGATGTGCTCACTGAATTGTGACCTTAATTTTCAGCCTGTTTAATTAAGGCATGCAGTTTTGAACTGAAGGAAGATATATCACTTTAAGGCATGCTGTATCCTACTCATTTGTTATGTATTCCTTTCAAGTTAATATGTCACCTTTTATCATATATTAAAACAAGTTTCGATATGAACTGCTAAATCTAAAGAAATTTCAGCATCACTTTCTCATTTAAGTTTTTCATATAAACTCTGAAATAACCTCCAATATTATGTAAAGAGTGGGATGGTACAATTGAGAGAGACATTTTTCTATAATAAGCAGTTTGGTTTTGATTTTTTTTTATTTTTTATTTTTTTAAGTAAAAGCTCTGCTACAGGATATACATCTTCAGGAGTGGGAAAGAATTGTATGTTATCCTTTACTGGTAAGTAGGTTATTCTATTATGTTTTATATTAGTTTTTTTGTAGGGGTGCTGAATATGTGGGCCCCACATATGCTCCATTTACCAGGCATACTGTAAGATACCATTCTGCTAAAGAACATAGAATAATAGATATCCAATACGTTTGGCCAGTTAAATGCTAGCCTAGTTACTCTACTTTTTGGGGTTTTTTGTTGCAGTTTTGCTTTGCTTTTTTTGGGTTGTTTTTTTTTTTTTGTTTGCTTGGTTTTTGTTTCGTTTGTTTTTGTTACATGTAGGTATAAAGTTGTATTTAAATGTAGTAAAAGTAAATGAGATGTACATTTCTTGATATTTTGGATGTTGTAAAAAGGTTGGGTTTGCAATTTGCCTCCATCCATTTTACACGAGGAAAGGGTTATTATGTGTACCTTCTCTTGAATTAGGGGAGAGAAACTGCTGTCTGGAAGTGCCCCTCTCTGCATTTGCTGTTTAAGAGTATGGATCATTAAAGGATAGAATGAGATTAGTGTCTTCCTGGAGGAACCTGTCTTTTTTCCATTCAGTACCAATAGACACTAGACAATTAGCTTGGATTAGATACATTTTAAGCACCTAAAGATTAGCCAATTAAATTCCACTGTTTTCATGCATGATATGTATTAATCTTATCTTCCAAATTGTGTCTTCTAATTATTTTTATTTAGCATTTTTCCATAAAAGAAGAAGAAATGTTAAGGTGAAACCATTCTGTTCCAGAAAGTTAAACTTTTGCATTATTGCCATAGGAAATATGCCACAATTGCCACAGGAAAAACAGCTCATTCTGTTTACTCTCTGTGTATGTTTTTCAGACAAAATCCTTTGTCTGAACTGCAACTCTCTATTTCAGATGATTCATTCCGGACTCATTCTAGTGGTAATAGTGGGAATGTTGCCTTCCCTTCCAGTTCTTCTTCTCGCAACTTATTTAACTCAACTGACCAGAAGAGCAATGGAAATAAGGAGAGTCAGTCCCGAAAGATGAGCATGTAAGTGGTTGACAAGAGTTTAAATCAAGTTTACTGGGTAACATTTTTCAAAGGAAACTGAAGAGACCCATGTGAAATTAAACCTGTATTTATGATACTTCTGCACCCAGATTTTGAAATACTAAAATAGCAGGGTAGAAATGTGAGGTGTGCAATTGCAAGAGTTTTTAAGATTGCATTCCCTTTTAATTAGTCTTTCACATTGTTTCATCTGCACATGTTTGCATTCAGCTGGAACGTTATAGGGAGGGTGGAATGCGACAAAGTGGAGGCTATTGCATTTGATGTGTAGTAACTACATTCACAGTGATTCAGCTGCCTGTAGTTGGAGAAATAGAATATATGAATTGTTAGATGATTTAATTTTTCCTTTTCCTTATTATGTACTTCTACATTTTTATGTGTTTGAGAGTTATGTTGAACTGGTACTGCTACTTGTTATTAAGGCTGCTGCCTTTGCCTTACCTTAATCATTTAGGTAAAAAAATTTCGATGCTACGCATGTCCCTCAGGCTGGTTTTCTTTAAATGTCACCCTAAACTGTTCAACATTTTGCAAGAATAAAATCAAAGATGAATTTGTTTGCTCCTGTGATAAAACTGTAAGTCCTAGAAGTTCGCTGTGATGTGTACTTACTTAGCCAAATATCTGTAGACTCTAGGAGTGAGTTCCCTTCATATTCCTTTTACACTATAAATTGTAGTTCTAAATTGCTGTCATTGGACTGGCTGTAATTTTGGGTGCTCAAACTGAGATTTTTCTTTGCTATTGGAGATTTGATTTGTTAGCCAAGTCAGAATGGAGAGTGGAAAGGAGCCAGCTATTTCAAGAAATGCAGGTTTGTTTGGGAAAGTAGACTTAAATGTAAGAGGAACTAGAACTGGAAGCTGAAGAATATGGGGAAATTCAAGCAGGGGCCTTGGAAGTCTGAGTAGGTATGAGAGACCAAGAATGAAAGAAGAGTCCAGGATGTGAGGTTATAACTTGCCTCAAAGATAATGGAGCTGAAATACTGAGTCTACACCAGACAGGAAAGAGGAAACACTTTACACTGGTTTGCCAGGTATAAAGAGAAAACAATAGTGAAAGTGATACCTCGAGTGGTCCTTTCTGGGCTTTTCAGGTTCCTTTAAAAAACAGACCAAAACACTCCCCCTGTCACCACTTTTACTCAGAGATACAAGTTAATAAAATTCCCAAATTGTAAAATAAAACACTCAAAAGTTTAACAAATATAAGGAGTTGTTCTTTGAACAGCTTGCATTCAACTACTTGTATACATTATATTATGATACACAGTCTTTTGATGTGTGATTACATAGTGATTTTCTGCTGCAATTTTACCACCTTCACTGTACAAGATAAATGTGTTCTGGAATGAAATCAAGCTTGCAGAATGACCTATTGTTTTTAAAACTGGATTTTCTTTGTAGAAAAGGTTGGAAGATAAGTAGTGAATGAAGGTGGACTGTTTCTGTTGAGCCAGTGGTTTCACAGCAGAAGTACTTTAAAGTGCCAATTAAAATAGCACTCTCTCCCTGCCCTGGCCAGACTCTAATGTGTTTATTAACTCACAGTACTTCAGACTTGTTACAGGTGGTCACTAATTTCGCAGCACATGATTTCAAACTCCACAGATTAGTAGACATGCTTACATTTTCAGCTATCCATAGTGTAAATGGGACGTGTATCTTGAGTACATAAAATGACATACAGTGCTAAATATTTTCAAAAACTAGGTGTGGTCAAAATCCCGTGTGCTTTCACTCTAATCAGTGTATACTTCTGTTCCCTCTATTTAAACCAGAAAATTAGTTCTAATGTTATAAATTTTTTAGCAGCCATTGCAGAATTTCCAATTACACATCTGTCTCACAAAATTTCGGGGAAAATAAATGGATTAATACTCACAAAGCAAAGACTTTTCTGTCTGTCACTTAAATAAAACTGATATCTTTTGCTTGAATACAAAGGGACAGAAAAAAACTCACACAGAGCAGTTTGTACCTTTGTCTTCAGGCAGAAGAGTGGAATGTAAGAGATCTGGCTTCAAGTCTCAGTGTACCGTTAAGGTACATTGGTGAATACCTTAGCAGACTACTTGAAAGTAGGTATCTGATCAAACACCATGAACTGGATGCTCTAGTTCACAAAGTCCCTAAACTGCATAGTGTCAAAATCCAAGAGAACATACTAGGGGAAGAAAAACATTTCTGGAGAAAGAAGAGCAGGCTTAGGATGACTTACATTTAGTTCTGAATAAGAGTTTTAATGTTCTTTGTTCTTATGGAAAAATGTGTCTCTCAAGTTAGCAGAATGTCTGCTGCACTGTAGATTCAATTTCTCTTTTGTAATGTAGACCAATACTTAATTGTTTTCATAAGAAAATGCAGCAGCTCTATAAGGAGATATAAAGAGATACAGATACAGGAATAGTTGGTGTTCAATGCGTTCATCCACATAGCCTTGTTGACTACAGGCATGTTTATCTCTACCTCTTTTACCTTTCTTTCATTCAGAAAATCAGCCCTAGTACTAAATATACACATATTAATAAAAAAGTCAGTATCATTGAAGAATGAGGGGTACAAGTTGTCCATCCTGTAAAAAGTGGGAGTAGATTTATTGTTGCATAGAAATCAATTTCATAATAATTAATTGAAGTCAGTATTTTCTAAGTTGTCCACAACTGACCTTCAAGACATCCACACTGGTGTGTGACCATGTAGTAAGCATTATATGCATAAGTATTTTAAAGTAGTGTCTTTCATCCAATCATATGATTGCTTAGGAAGTTGAGCACAAAATGAAGTAGTTCTGCCACTGATCTACTACACTTTGAGTTGGTTACTTAAAGCTTCTAATCATGTTTTCATCCTGCTATTTAAGATGCTAACATTTACGAGGTCCAGTGGGTCTGGCATGTGATTTGGGTCCCATTTCTCAGATGAAGCTAGTAGGTATTCTGACACTGATACATTATCATGATAGGTTTCATCAGCAATTTAAAAAATGTGAAACAGAACAATATATTGTGTTGTTTGTAAATGATACTGTAAAATATTGATACAAATTAATATTTCCATAGAGTTCTAAAAATTAAGCCCCATTCTTTGACATATTTCTGACCAATAAAAACAAGTTGGTAATTGACATAGCTACAATTCTGTGAAGTTGAGAACAGTATATTTAAAGATTAAAAATTGAGTCTATGAAAAATTGGAAATTGCCAATTAACATGGTTAGCAGAAGATCTAGGAATAACACTGTAATGAGGTCGAAGTTTCTTTCTCTTGCCCGTCTCCACTTTCCCCAGGCTTTTCTGGGTTAAGCTGGAGACTTCTGGCATTATTTGTAGCCACCAGTAGACTACTTGGACTATCTTAACATCTTACTTAGAAGGATCTCTGCACAACCTTCTGTAGAAAGCTTAATGGAGAAAATTATACCCTTCTTGTGAAGAAAGCCCTCAGAATGTGTCCATTTGGCTTTTTCAGTAGGTACAGGAGAGCAGCTAGTAATTTTGAAAGTATAGCAGCTAAGAGTTATAGTAAAATGTTACACACAAAAGCAGTTTATGTTATGTTATTTAATAATATAGCAAAAACATATTATGTGTGTTTCTTCTTTTGTATGAAGAAAATCCAGAAAATCAAACTCTTAAGATCTTCTGACAGAAAAGAAAGGGAACCAGAGAGTGATGGAAGCAGCATTCTGGTGCGATAAGGTGGGAGCAGCAGACGGACTCTCTAATGCCTGGAATGAATAAAATGCATCTTGCAATGTTAAAACTTTTTATCTTTGAAATAAAATCCCAAGATGTAAAATAGGCTCCAGTAAATAATGTAACGGTTACAGAATTCTAATGTTGTAGTGAAATGTTATGAAATATAACTTCAGCTATGTGCTCTTAATCTGCTGCAGCTAAAGAGAGGATTTTGTTTTCTTCAATTACGCCTTTGTAGTTCAAATTCTTGGATTTAGAATATACATATCCATTAATTAATTGGCTTATTTACAATTTTAGCAATTATTATCACCCATGGTTTATGCAAGTAATAGAAGGAATTGTAATAAATATGAAAAAGTAATCCCGCATTTTAAGGAATATTCAAACCTAATTTAAGACCAAAGTCCAGAACCATTGATCCGTCCATATCATAAGCTTTAGTAGCATTATGCTGTGAATTTGGAGGTAATGTTTTTACAAGTACTAAGTAAAGTTCATAAAAATACTGTGTAAGTTTGAAAGCAATCTAAAAGCAGATGTCTTCAGATGATATAAAAAAAGTTCTATTTCATAAGTTTTGTTGTATAAATACCTGGTTTAATTTTTAGTATTTCAGATTGTATTTTCACTTGAATAATTTATAATGATGAAACTAGTTTTTAATCAGCTGCTATTGCAAGCTATCATGCTTCAGTGATGTCATCTGCATTTGTTTGTATTAATGCTAATGTTTCTATCAAAATTTGCCTGTGGGAAAACATGCAATTCTATTTTGAAGAGTTCTATTTATGCCAATACTAAAGAGAGAGCCTATGAAGCTATTGTCAGCTTCTCTATTTCAGAATGGAAGCAGCATAAATATATAGATATCAGAAATACGTGGTTTTTAAAATGTATTGGTGTATGATAAAGGTGATCTGATCTGTGAATGCATATGCGTGTGTGATTACTTTTTATAATGTAAAAATATGAATGATGATTTACTCAAAATAAAACCTAGGACAATGCTGTACATGCATGTTCTTGAAAAAAATCCCAACTCTCAGGGCATCTTTTATAATTAAAATAAAAACATTTACCTATAGAAGGTATTTATTTTAAATAATAACAGCACTGGATGTATGCTGTCTTGTGTGAAGTACAAAATGTGTCTTTGGATTTAGCAGTGTTTCGCTGTCTGAATTCCTAAGCTTCTTAGACAGCAGTTGGATATAGGAGTATTCTCTGTTAAGTTACAGACATTGTTTGGATTCTGTAGAAAAACTCAGGTTTTCAGTTTGTTCTGTAGCCTGGCATAGGATCTTGTAAATCACAGATTTCTTTAAAGGCTTCTTCAAGTACTGTGATGTTTAACATTCAATATTGGTACAGATACACAGATGACCTATACTGGCTCCTCCTAGGTTCTGCTTTTGTTTCATTAATAAAAACAGATACTCCCAGTTCCCCAGGGACAACTAACATCCCAGCTACAGCTGCTCACCCATGGGCGGCAGGAGACTGCTCAATCTGTTCAGTCTGACTGCTGCCAGGGAACAAACTCAGATTAGCAGTACCCAGCTGCAGAACAGGACTGTGCTTAACCCTCCAATGCCTTTACTAGAGCAATGCAGAACATCCAGTAAGTTCAGAAACTTGAATCCAAGCTATTTCTCCCCTTAATAAGCATGTAATGAGTTCTAATACAGTCTGTCTTTTGTTTCTTATTGGCTGTCATGTCTGTCATTTTTAACTGATTAATTCATTTAGTGCTGATAACACATACTCCACTCAATAACCCTATTGTGTATTAAATTCCTGCTATATAATCTCTAATTGCTTTATTTAGACATCTTTTGGTCTGCACATCTTCCTTGCACAATGCTCCCGGTGTCTTCTGTATACTTTCCTAAGTCTGTCACACTACAAACCTCCATCGCAGCAGTCTTTTCTGGGGCTGCTTACTTCTGGGTTACTTCTGTTGGACAGCACCAATACTTCTGAACCCTTTGTAGCACTGTTTTTTCCTGCAACTCAGATAACAGCTGTAGGTCAACTCTACAGTGCTGACTGGGTGGCTTAGAGGCAGAAATGAGTGATTCTTTTTCTTTCCTGGTACATTTATACTGCAATGTGGAGTTAGGTTAGATGCACCTTTGTGTTTTAGTCGGATACCAGAATCTGCCTGCTAAATCCTTTCGCGAGTGGTTTGCACCAGTGTCTGGGTTGCTGTGGGTAGACCTCTAGTGGTAACTGATGTGATTTTTAGAGATGTTTATCAGCTTTACCCTGTAATGTATCTTTTGTATCTTCTCTTGCAGATGCATCTCTCTGTGTATGTTTACTGATAGACACCTTTAAAGCTTCTGTGTCAAATGATTCTGAAAACTCCTATGCCCCTTTTGGGCAGCTATTTGTGAAGGCTGTATGAGCAAGTAGAGTAATGGTTAGGTCTTTAAGTTATATATAAGTTATATTTAGCTAGAAGCAGCTTCTTTTGTTTTTCCATGCTTAATATATACGATTCTGGTGCTAATAAAAATTTACTAAATGTTAAAGATCTTGCTGTTTGTTTGGAATCACTGTAGTACTTGAATAGAGTGAATTGTATCTTGATCATAGAAATATTTTTCTGAAACATTTTTGCAGCACCTTTTGGATTTTAGGATCAACTCTGTGAATAAATCTATTCCACTTTTTTTGGAACTCCACAGAGGTTGTTCCTACTAAAGCCTGTCTTAGTTCAGGCATAGAGTCCTGTTTTGTAGTTCACCCTGATATCTAGACGGTAATACATGCAGAAATTCTGGTTTTAGGAGAGGTCCAGCTTGGTGTTATGAAGCAGTCCAGATCCAGATTTTACATGTTCAGAATTGCTAAGCTATTTTTCAGAATTATTTTGTCTTTAATAGAAAGCATATTTTAAAAGCAGGCACATCATGTACCCTGGGAAAATGAGGTGCTTTGGTACTCTGAATAAACACTTTGAAAGAGGTCAGACTCCAAGGCACTGCAGGCTTCATGATAGACTCACTGTAATTTCGGCAATAATAAAATCTCTGGGCAAAAGCTGTAAATTCTCTTTTAGGGCTTGATCTTCCTTCCGTTTTTGTAAATGGCAAAATTCTGCTAACACTGAGGTCAGTAGGTTCTTAAGTCTCATTGAAACAGAAAATAATATTCAGGAATATCAAGCCTGCAGTGTTTGGGAATGAGCTTCCTGAATATTTTGAAAGTTCAGTTTCGTGTTTGGCTTTTGTTTTTGTTTTTTTTTAATTTCACTTTTTTTTTTTTTATTTGCATTTAACAAAACACATTTTTGCCACTTTGGGCGTTAGTGAATTTAGCTTGTTGCTTGGGCATTAATATAAATAGGATGACCTGTTGCTAGCTGGAGAAACAAAATAGGGTTTCATATTTTCATATTTCACTGTCTTTTTAGAATAATAATGTAAATTAATAAAACACTGTCCTGGTTTCAGCTGGGATGGAGTTAATTTTCTTCCCAGTAGCTGGTGCAGTGCTGTGTTTTGGCTTTAGTCTGTGAACAGTGCTGATAACACGCTGATGTATAGTTGCTGCTGAGTAGCGCTTATCTTGGTCAATGACTTCTCAGTCTCTCATGGTTTGCACAAGAAGCCGGGAGGGAGCAGAGACAGACACCTGACCCAAAGTAGCCAAAGGGGTATTCCATAGCACAGCACGTCATGCCCAGTATATATACAAGGGGTGGCCAGGAAGGGCTGCTTGGATCAGGCTGTGCATTGGTCAGCAGGTGGTGAGCAATTGTATTGTGCATCACTTTCTTTTCTTGGGTTTTATTCCTTTTGCTCTCTTTTTGTTACCTCCCTTTTCATTAAAATTATTATATTTTATTTCAAGTATTAAACTGTTCTTCTCTCAGTGCATGGGTTTTACTTTTTTCCAGTTCTCCTCCTCGTCACACTAGGGGGACGAGAGGGAGTGATCAAGTTGCTGCATGGTACATAGTTGTCAGCGGGGGTTAGACCACAACAAATGGAAAAAAGCCCAGTAAGGAAACTGCTTCCTTTATTTACATTTCTGTTGGATCAACTAACCTGCCAATGAACAGTAATGTTTTAAAAGTTTCTTCAAAAATCATAAAAAGAAATGGCCGGTCCACTTTGATGACAGGAGGCACTGTGAATGCGGTTATTTCTGACCCACTAGCTGCTGTGGCTTCAGTTCCTTCTTCATCTACTTCAATTACTGCTTTTTGGACAACCTGAAATGCAATTTAGAAATAAGGTATGTGACAGAAAGAAATATTAACATGACAAATGTTTTTCCAAGTGCAAGGCACCTTTTATTAAGGATTAAACGGAGCAGGCCTGTGCAATCTAGCTCTGTCTGCTAGACTGGTAGACTCTTGTGCAGACTACTTCAGCAGCTGAGGGGATAGTACAGCCACCATGGCCACAATTACAGTGTGGATGCTAATGTGCTTTTCTACATTTCTCAGCATAGAGGTTTTGTTCTTGCAGCTGGTAGCATGAAGCAACCATTGCATTTGTATAGTGTTCCTCTTTGACACCTAACAAGGGAGAGTTTCTCAAAAGTGCGAAGTCTGTTTTCATCAGTCACATAAACTGACTGGCTGGATGTGCCATTCACAGTTGATTTTGTAAGAGCTTAGGCAAATTCACCAATCTTGGCTTTTCCCCCCTATATTTTTAATTTGTATATTTCATAGCATGAGCTAAATATATAAAGCAATGAGCTACAATCCTGCATTGGCCTGAGGATCTTCCCTCCCCATTGAAATTGCAGCTTGGCAGAGTGTGATTCTTTTCCATTTTTGTTCTTTCAGCTTGCATGTGTCTGTGAGTACTGCCTCTATATTTGGATCAGAATTGGTGAACTGCTTAGGCAGCTAGTGCATTCCCAACATCCAGTCTTCTAGTTCTAGGAGTGACTTATGTGAAAACGATTGA